ATGCCTTTATACTCAATCACACATATGGTTTGGATAATTTGCACATTTGTGCATTTACCTTTTATCATCGTACTTTTTTGGATGCAGGGTTGTAAGATTTTCAGAGAAGCTAAAATGAAGGATCGAGGATTAAATAGAAAAACGAGTTACGATTTAAGGAAAAAGGCACGGTGAATGACTGGCTGCGCCCATCAGTAAATCCAGTCACTGCTATTAGTGAACCATAAAGAGGTGAGGAATGATTTCTTCCCTCCAAAACAACCCTCCATCACTCCTTGCTCCTATTCAGCATTTCTCCAAGCCCAAAGCAAAAAAAAACAAAACAGGCAGTGTAGAGTGAAAACCAGGGGGAATAACACTGTAATAACAGACAATTGCATTTGTTCAAGCAAGTATTGTATCATTTGAAGGTGTTCGGCTTTGTTTGAATGTAAATTTAGAAGTAGCAATTAAGTCTCTCTCCTCTTATTTCATTGCTGTCTCTGCCAGCCCGTTAGCTGCGGCGCTGTGCGTACATGTGTGCAGTGACAGAATAAACTTGTGTATATGTGTGTGCTTTTTAATGACAAAGATTCCCACTGTGAGAATGTGAGAAAGACTCCTGAGTGCACGCTCTGACTGAGGTGCGATTCCAGTTTTAGGTCATTTTAATTTAAAATGTAGAGGGATGTGCGACTCTTGCATTCTACAAAGGTGTGACTGTGGATTCTCTGACATTAGAAAGGGTGCAAATCCCAGTGGCGGTATACTTTTCTTTTTTCTTTTTAAACAATGCAGTTTCTATATCGAGAGGGTGAATTGTTGTAAAAGGGGACTAAAGAATGCATTTGGATTGCTTCAACACCTTCGCTTCAGCGGTTTGGGAAACAGCAACTCGTGTCTCATCAGCAACAAGAAAATTAAACCACCGACTCCGAGCATATTGTTATAATCCACTCTTCTCCTGGGAAACCTTGAGTCCTGTCGTCCATGTGCATGCCACTTTAGCACACAACACAAAAGCCACGTAAATATTGTTACATGCAAAGTGAGGCACTCCCATGCAAGACGCGTTTATTCCTTCAGTAAAAATGAAATCCTACCTTTGTTCTTTATGGAGACTATTTACCTGCATGCAAAGCTTGCAGAAACATGACTCTTCAATACAAAGACATCACAGGGATTTTGGGTGTATTTCAGGTACCAAAAATCTTGTCCCTCCCTACAGATTATATTTGTTTTGCAGATATTTGGTTATGAAGCTCATATCGCTTTGAACCACACCAAGCTTCAAATGCATGTTCTAGCTTTCGGAGTAAACGTGATTTTTCAATGAGTCGTTTCATTTGGTTCTCTCCGAGTCTCAGCAAAAGTCAACGCAGAAAGGCTTCCTCCATTTACTCTTGCAGGACAAATAAATCACACCATCTCAATGAGTTTTTCCCATCTATAATGCAAGAGTGCAGCGCTTGGTAAACCCTTTGTGTCTGTATAAAGTAAATACGCATGGACCTTCTTGTAAGTGCATATTTGTGCACGTCTTACCAGGCTTCCGGCAGCAAGGTGGTGTACTCGTGTGGAGAGGTGGTTTCCGGAAAGTTGTCAAGGATAACTAGTCGATGTTGGAGGAGTTCTGCTCCGTGATATGTGAAAAGAATGTCAAGAGCCTGCACGTTGCTCTCCTGTGGCCAAAAAAAATGCATGTTAGAAAATGCTTAATGTCAATTGGTGCCTCGATTTTACCCTCGTGTGTGTCTAAACGAGCTAACCAAATCGCAGGCTTGATCTAAAGTAGAGAATCAGTCACATCCCTAACTCCAAACAAAGACGCATACAGTTAAAATGAAAAGATGCAAAGAAATAATTAGTGAGATATTCTGTGAGAGTGTGAGGCCAAGGTTACCCTGGCGTAGTTTCTTGCAGATAAAACAATGTTTTGACTTCGGAACTTCTTGAAGAAGTCTGCATCGTATTTGTCCTCCGCTGCATGAGGGCCACCAAGTATTTCCTGGAAAGTATAAAGCAAGAGAGAAAGAAAGAGAAAATATTCAGAGATACATACACACACACACACACATACATTTACAGTTCATGAAAAGAAATTTGTGAGTCAGAGGGTTATCTTTCCAGAATAAATGTTATGAGTGGAAAGGGATTCAGAGTAAAGATGCGAGGGAAAGTGCAAGTAGAAGATGTGACTGCCAATGAAGGCACTAAAGCAAGCCAACAGAGATGCTATTTAATTTTTGTGGCTTACAGCTGTCTTGTCCTTTTAGTTGGAGTCATCTAAGTGTGTGTGTGCGCACGTGTGTGTGTGTGTGTATGCATGTGTGTGTGCGAGCATATGTCAGGATGGACCATTTGTTGTCCTGGAAAGAGGGATTTATGTGTATTTGTGGTTATAAAATCTCTGTAGTATCCATTATGCCAGAGCATGTGTGTGTGTGTGTCTTTGTGCAGAAGAGTGTGTGAGGCGTGTGTGTGTCTGATGGATAGCTTTTGAATGGGATCCTATGCAGACAGAGCCAGCCCAAGTCGGGATGATAAAAACGCTAATATCATATTCATAGACAGCCAGAGAAAATGTATCGGGGCAAAAGGAATCTGACGAGTACTGCAGTTACCATGACAATGTCCGAATGAAGAGAGAAACGTCATTCTGTCTGAGTCGAATATCTAGCAGGATAAAATCTCATCTGTCCTGTATGGGAGCGAGTAGGGTCCTGTTCATCCGTGATAAGGGTCTGCATGTTAACATTACCCACTGTGAATCTGAAATCCACCGTTTTAAGTAGTTGCAAGTGTCTGCTTTAAGCACGTATCCATCCATCTATGTAGCGCTGAAGCAGTGATATTGGATTCCTATTAGTAGTGAAGTTAAAATAATACTTCTCAGTGTCAGTGCTAGCTTTTTACCAGATCATCTATAAATTCTTCACATACTTGTGTAAATGGAGGTTAAGTATAAATATTTATAGATGGCAGATGAGAAAAGCCTATTAGCGTTGAACGGACTGCACATTAAAGTCGAACGCATTAGAAATAAGGACTACAATGAAAACAAAGTTTTTTCTTCATTAATATTAGATTCATTAAATAAACTCTACTTTAATACAAATGTAATCAGAATTAATGGTTCCTCAAATGCAATCTCTTTCCTCTGAAGTCTCTCCTGAGTTTAGTTATCAAAACGTTTTTCAATTAATGTTTTTTTGCATCGCATTTAAATATTCTAGGAAGATGATATTGCGTTGTTGATCCGCAGAGCCTCAATTTACTTAATTTCTTCGTTACATGTAAATAAAATTAAAATTGTTGGGGCTGAATATTGGAAATTCAATTAATGAGTTTCTTGTTCGGGAGAATATTATGCCCCAGCTAAACAACAGAATATTAAGCAACAGTTGAATAAGTTCACTGGGTCCAGCTCTCCCAAAAGGAATATTTACTGAGATTCTCTTTAGTCTTCAAACATGCATCGAGTTAATTACTCGACAGGCTGAAAAAGCAAACAGCAAATGTATTGATAAGGATAACTGTGGTTAGTTGCAATCCTAATGAAATCCATTTACTTGGGAAAATGTGGAGAGTTCATTAAGTCAAAGGGCTGATTGCTGTTACCTCGTACGTGGCGAGCCGGTCCAGGTAGGAGAGAAGCTTCAGTCTGCTCCGACACAGTTCCTTCTGCTCCAGAGTCAGCCTAAGCATGCAATCATATTTAAACACGCAAATCAGCACCATACCAGCACAAACAATTTAACACAATTGACATGAGACCTCCAACACAATGACTTTGACTACAGAAATTAACTGCAATCAAATCAAACGCCAAGCTCAGTCTGTCATCTGCACTAACTCACACCCTAGCTTTAAATTAACTGTAAATTGACCTTACACAGTAAGCCCACGGGGACCTATATAATAAGGCTGGGGACTGGTGACTACAATACCATACCATGCCCTCTAAACCTAATCATTTTCCAACAGCAACAAATCAACTCCTTATGACCACAAGAGCCACTCATTCAGGTGTTATGTATAGGATGCAAGCCGTCAATGAGGTGAGCGATTGCCCAGTGAGAACCAAATCCATTTTCAATGTCATTTAATCACAACCATAAATAAAGAGGATGGCCACAAACACCAAGGCACTGTGCTATATAGGCTCTACCTAAAACTCAATCACTCAAGGTACAACCAAAAGAAAGAGAGTGCAAGGCTGAAAAGGGCTAGGAGTGGTCAGATACACCCCCTCGGTTCACACATAAGGTAAAATAAAACATTTTTTTAACCACATGCTCACACACCCTCCAAGTTCAATTCACAAAGAAAAAATCCAACCAGGTGAAGCAGGGTGCAACCCCTCTTATAAACTTGACCTGGATCAACTGCGATGTGACCACAGGGGAGTTGACCTCTCCACCGCTGTCTTAATCCCAAATCCCTCATTACAGAGTGCGCTATCGGGTCTTATCGGGGTCCTCTACACAGACTAACAGAGATTAACACTGGCTCAACACACACTCTGGCACATCAAAGAGCGCCGGCTTAGTGCTAGTACTAGTGGTAATTACTGCCGTGCTTCGTTTCTTCAGAGCAACGTAAGAAAAGTGGAGATGGAGGAAGGAGAGTGGTGGCAAGTGAGGGAAGGAGGAGAGATGAGATGTTAGAAAGCAATTTTAGCCATCTGCTCTCTGGAGGTTTTGAATGATGGCTTAATGATAACTTCCAAGAAAGGCTCTGAAATCTAAAAGGAAGTGACAGGATATCTCTGTAACTTCATTTGGTTGAGAGGAGTTCTGACTAAGCTCTTCTATTACTCTGACATAGTTTATTAAATGACATGCAATAATACAGAATGTGTCAAAATGTACTGTTAGCCATGCTATAAGTGATATAGTATGTTCTAAAGATATTACTGATCCTCTGGGCATATTTGTTTTCTTTATTGAGCAGGTAGATATTATTTAAAGTAAAATGTCTCGGTAGCTACTTGATATCTTTTGGATCTCTTATCGTTTAACCTTTTCGATATACACAACATATATACAACACTACTGAGACACTGGCACTCCAGCAGGTCTCTGCTCATCTTTGAATAGTATTTAACCAATATTATGCCAAAAAAAAAAAAAACATTTCAAAGGATTAGACATCCACAGCCCATAAACCGTAAGGGAACTATCATGAAAACATTCGTAACAACAAATCTAATGAAACACTTAAATCACCTTCACCCAGATGAATACGCCCAGTTTGAAGATGTTAATAAAAGGAAAATTGGCTAAATCTAATGTTATCCAAAGCTCAGAGCCAGCCACAAGACAGCAGCCTGAATTGAGCCTCTGTGAACAGTAAAAAAAGACTGAAGCAATTACAAGAGCAATTATGGCGACAAATCAAAAAGAGAAATTGGTCAATGCCCTGCTGCTGACTTTGAACCTTTTCCAGAATGTTTAGAACTGGTGACATCCTAAATTTGCTGGGAAATGATGCAAGTACCTGGCATTTGTTTTTTCTTATACAAATCTGTTGCACCTGCTTTTGTTTGGTGAGGTAAAGTATATCAGGTAAAGGTGGATATGAGGAGCAGAACACTTTATTTTCAGAGTTGTTTAAGAGATAGAAGATCATCCAAGTTATTGCAGTTTGGGGGGCATTGTAAAATGATTAATTTATTTCATTATGAAAATACGATTTTTAAAAAATGATCAAATGCTGAAAAGTGATTAACTGGAAATGGAAGTAATATAAAATGAATATCAGTCACCCTCGGTCTGGAGCTCCATGCAAGACCAAGATGATGAGAAAGGTGGCGGATCAACCCAAAACTATACTGGTGGAGTTTGTTAATGACCTGAAGGCAGCCAGGACCACAGTCACCAATGTACTGAGATACTACAGCACCCACAAGGTCCCCCCGGCTCTTCTTAAGTTCGCCAGTGAACATCTAAATGATTCAGAGAAGGCTTGGGAGAAGGTGCGGTGGTCAGATGGAATAAGGAATAAGCTCCACCCACCATGTTTGGAGGATGAGAAATGATGAGTGTGACCCAAAAACATGGCCACAGTCAAGCACGGAGTAGGAAACATTATGCTGCACATGCATGTATAGAAATAACTCCATAGTCCTGGTAGCAGCTTTAAGAAGCTGTAAGCATGCCGATGTCACTACTGTAAAACGGTATCTATAGAGACTTTATGTATATATCTTTTTAATAAAATGTATAATTTTCTAAATAATAATATTAATAATAATAACAATAATAAATACAGAATATAATTTCCAGTTTAAGACTGGTCATTGATAACAATTTTAAGCAACACCATTGTGCTAGAGCAGTATTGCAGACATGACTGAATGTTTGATTCAGGTCGACATCTCTTGCTTTTAAATTGCTAATCTTACAGCTGAATTCCACTGAGATACAGCATAAACAGTGCGTGCTGTAATACACTGTTATACATACAAATGGACCCACCTGGCTATACACTAAAAAGGCAGCACAGTGCACAAGTCTTCATAAAGGTTTTTATGTGTTTTTAACAGATTGCCCTTATGATAAATAGCTCTTAAATTTAAAAAAAAAAAAAACAAACTGCGGTAAACTAAGGTAAAGAGACTAACTGCTTCAAGATCTATGTGCACACATATATTTAAGACATCTAGATGCTACAATAAAAACATAAAGAGTCTTCCACACAGACACAAGCACAGTCCAAAGCTGGAACAAATGAGAAAATTAGACTTCTGACTGAGGTCCGACTCTGACCTGATAAAAACATAAACACCTTGCAGCAGACACTACTCTCTTCACACAATTTCCTCCCCTCTCTCACACACACGCACAGATACAACTGCAGTATTGCCTATCTTGTTGTATGAGTAAAGTGTGAGTAGCCGTTATAATGGCCCTTGGCAGACACTACATTTCAGGATAACTAAATGCATTTTGGCAAATGCAACACACTGCCAACAAGAGACAGCTAGTAATAACAAAAGGGGCTGGAGAAATATATCAATATCCATCGTTTCATTTGGTTTTTAGAAAAAAAACTGAGTACTGAGAGAGAAACAAATTACAAAATTGAGAGCTTCACTTTCACACTCAGTTTTCTCTTCACCACAACAGAGCAGTACAAAATCTGCATCACTGTCGATGGCGCACCAATCCATCATTCAATTTCCCCCCTCCACTCTTCTCTTTATGAACAAAGCCCCAAGACTCCTCCACTTGGGACAGCAAGACGCAACGCAAAGTGAGCCAAGAACCATGGTGCCCTATTTGGAGGTGCTAATTCTATTCCAGCCACTGTATACCCAGTCCAACGGCTTATTAATCCCAGAGAACCATATTGTCTTTAAAAGCGCAAACACGAACCTGACACGCCCATTTCTTGGATACTGCAAAATATAAAAAGGTCCATAAAAGTTATGTACAGAGGTGGTGACAATAGGAAGCCCTGGTGGATTTCAACATCCACTGGTAACGAGTTGTATTTATTTTCACTCCAAATCCACAAAACAAATGTAGATTTGTTGGGCAAAGCCCACATACACTTGTATATGCAGTTGCAAGACAAAGTGCTGCTTCAGTGTTTCATGACTATGATAAAATTGTTTTTGTCCACATTGTCAAGTGACGATAAGCCAAGAAGATCCTTGAGATGTTTTTTGTTTCTTTTCTAGATGTTCCTGACCCCCAAGAGTTTAGAAACTAATGTAATACAGGACAGCAAAGGGCAGTTGAGAGCGTTTGAGTCTGATTATTGAAAAAGTCATTCCTGAATAAGAATTCTACATAGTGATCAATAACATTGACAAAGAAAACTAATTTTTTCCTCTTTAACAGTGATGACATTTTAATTTATTGTATTGACGCAAGGCAGAAAAAAATCTTTGTTGATTATGTCTTTCAAGCATACACACACACGCACACTCGCACACTCACACATCAACCAAATAAAAGACAAGCTCCAAACGCTGCGGGATTAAAGATGCACTCTGAGTCACATTTACTAGTTAAATACAGTCCTTATCTACACATGCGTGTCACCCACACAAAATACGCACAGACGCGGTACTACTGTGAAGCAGCTGTGATCGATACTGAGCCATTTCTGTAATGGTGGTGTAGTTAAAAAGAAATTAAGAGAATTATTATCTGTCTCAGGCCTCGGCCGCAGGCCTGAAGGCAACATGGGTAGATGCATTAGTGGGGGAACCCGAATGTGCACACACTCACACAAAAACACATTCTGGGGGCACGTGTGTGAGCTGCCTGGCAGACATTCTGCATCAAAGACAGATAAAGGAGAAAAACTGGTATATTTAAATAAGTTTATTCACTGAAGATTTAATGTAATGTTTTTTTTAATGTTTGTACATTATCGATTTTTTTTTTTTTTTACTACCTCTTCGGTCCTCTTTCTTATCCTCCATCTTTTCTTTAGCTGCAGTGGAGTGCAGTTCTCCAATAAAGCACAACAGTTTTATTACACAGTAAGATATAGATGACCAAATGGCCAAAGGGAGGAAAAAAAATGAACAGCGACATGAAGGGCAGCTATTACAAAGGATTAACATTACGGGCTCTTCCTCATTTAAAAGCCGTCAGGAGGCTCACTGCTTACTGTACGAACAAAAGAAAAAGCCCGATCCAGCTACAGAAGATTGAAAAGTGCGCCTCCACAAAGCCTGTTTGCAAAAACATGGAACGGATATGAATTTAAATGTGCATCAAGCGCTTTAACTCATGCACCCAGCGCATCCTTTTTGTGGCTGGTCACTTCAGTAGTTGTGTGTAATTCAGCTTAAGAGTGTTTCTTGATACATGAATGAGTGAATTTGTTTGCATGTGTGTTATGAGAGGTGATTAGTGATCACTAAAGGCTTTTTCATTAGTCTATCCCTGGGCACTTGAAAACAAAAGCATAAATTACCTCCAGCAGATTACCCACTAATCTCCACCAGTACTTTTTCTCTGTCTCGCACTCTCACTCTCTCTTTTCCTCAAACTCATTAACATCCATGCCTTTATGATCCCCTCTCTGGTGTGAAACCCAGTCAAACAATCAGTGATAAATTTGGCAGCACTCTAACCCATTCATCCTCCTCCCAGTTTCCTGGTCTACGCCTTAAATACTGAAATCACAATTTCTCAATTTTTCCCCACAAGCATTTGGAGTACAGTTAATATTTTAGCTGATACAGGGAATAACAACGACTTAATTTAATCTTAAGAAACAGTAAGTAACAACCTGCCAACAAGGTGACTCACATAGGTCAGCATCATGTTCCTCTCTAGAGAAATGAGTCCACCCACCCAGCAAATGCTTCTAAGAACAAAGCTGCTGTTTTAGCTCCTTGTCTTCAAAGATCAGTAGAAAAATAATCTCAAAAACTCCCAATGGTTTAGCCAAAAAACAGTATCACACTATAAAATCAAAAGATTGTAATTAGCTTTAGTAACTAAGATACTAAAACAAGAGACGTGCTTGCCAGCTCGACTCTAAACTACCAGTTTAGCTGGAGGTTTAAATGAACCCTCTCTTACATTCTGTTTATTCGGAAAACTGCCAGCATTTCTGGTCTGCCCTGACAATTATGTGTCCATCTGCTGTTTGATTAAACAAGCGGCAGTCTGACTGGCCGTTTACCTGCTGAAGTCAACTTTGGCCAGCAGCTCTCGTCTCTTCTTGTTCTCCCTCTCCTTCTTCATCTCCAGCTCCTGCTCATCTGAAAGGATGTCTTCATAAGGGAGGTCATCGAGGTCGACGTCGCCTGGCATGATGAACCTGGGAGACGGCAAAGAAATGACAGAAAAAAGAAGCGCGGATAAACAAAACGAGACAAGCAGAGTAAGTCTATGGTAAGTGAAGAGAAGAAGTTTTTATACCTGCCCCCATCTTCCCCTTTTCCTATGGCTATCAGGGCTTCAAGGTCGGTTCCCTTCAGGCCATACTGCAGCAGCTCTTTAGCTGCATCAACATTCTCTGGGACGCGCTCCACACACTCATGCAGCACCCATGAGCGCTTGCGGATCTTGCTCTAGGTGGGATGCAGGAAACAGAAGAAGATGGAGTGAGTTCAGAAGAAATGATGGGATAAAATACGATACAGAAATAGGGTGGGAGGGTGAAAAAATTTGCTATAAATTGGCAAAAATGATGCGTGAAATAGAGTATGGGGACTTGTGCTGCACTTAAGTGTGTGCCTCTCCCACTCATTCACATAAATGCACTGAATTTTTTCCCCCCTTGCCAACCAACAAAATATACCGTGATTAACACCAGAAATTCTGATACAATCCTTCGTCTCTCCTCCTCATTTCCTCACATGTATGTGTCTCCTTTGACTGATGTCTTACCAGATAATCTTGTATTGAGGCTATGCTGACGGTACTCTTCCGCCACTGTCTCTGGTAGACGAGGTCAGAGTCCAAACTGTATGCCTGGGCAAGAGACAGGGCTTCACCATACTCCTCATTGTCAATCTACGAGATAAACAAAAACATAATAAACATTATGAGATCTTTAATTATGCATGTTTCTTCCAGGCAGTGGAACAGACAGCACTAAAACAAATCCATATCATCAGGAAAGACAAGCATTTCAACAATGATTTAGTAGGGATGATGACGAGTGTTTGTGAAATAAAAGGAAATAATGAGAAGCACGTCCTGGAATTGGCCAGGCAGCACCTCTGACTGAGAGGAACTATGTGGTTCTAATGTAAAATTTGAATAAAAGCACCCAAAAACAAAGATCAATTAGTTTCATTTTCTGCTATATTCAATCCTGATCCCAGGGGTATCGAAATGATTCATGCTGTGGGTTCCTAAATCAATGTAATTAAATAGAAAACATTAAAGTATATGTTTCTACAAAATACCACTGCAAAAAAAAAAGAAAGGGAAAAAAGATAGAGGGAGCATTGTCCACAGACATATTTTCCATTACACTGAAGGACAAGGATGTCAAGGTATTGAATAAATCTATGCCTACACCGCAGCCTTTTTGTATGCACACAGAATACCCAAAGACCGAATAGGAACAGCTGGAACATGCAGATTTCAATCAGTGTAGCAATGCGCAATGTGACACAGACTGAATTGGGTTTGCTAAAGAGGGAGAAGGAGAATGTCTGAAGGGAATTTCATGTCTGGGGATATCTGAAGAAAAAAAAATCAAATAGCCCGAGTTAGAAAACATAAAGGAGAAATCAGAAGCCGTTTAAAATGACACAAAGCATCAGCACCATCTTTCAAAAAAAAAATTAAAATAAAAAGCCAAAATAGCTACACCACAATCACAACTGACCATCGGCACAGCGGATGCTTTAAAGTAGAGCCTGCCTGAGACAGGATTTTTAAAACGAATGCCGTGTTTGGTGATCTAAATACTCCTTGATATTCCGATATTTTTCCTTTCAGACTCCAAAAACATAAGCAGACCCTAACATTTGCTATGTGTCGTTACTTATTTTCTGTTTTACACTCATACACACTACCAGGCTTTCTCAGATCACGTGTTCATAACAGCCTCTGGTATTCTGCCCTCTGGTGGACAGACCTTGCAATGTCAACTCTCATAGCATGGTTGAAGGGTGTTTCTCTTCCTTTTTACTCTCCCTTTTTAAAAATGTTATGCGTCATCCTTTACAATGTCACTGCCAATAGATTGTCAAACAGCTGATAATATGACCTTGCCAATCAATTCATCAGACATTAGCTTCTATTTTACAACACATGCTAGTAGGGGTGGGGGAAAAGATCGATACTGTGTAGTATCGTGATATTTTGTTTGCTAATAATGTA